CCTACAAAACACACACAGAACCATACATTTGAGGGCCAAGACATTCTGAATCTGAAGAGAACAATTCTGACCAAGCAATTAATTATATGAACATGAAATAGGTTTCACTAGGGTAAATAAAATAGCTCATGCTATCTAAACTTAAAAGGTTGAGAGTAAACATGAGGCTAACATCCAAATAAATAACTCCCAATGCTATGTTCATTTCAAATTGTTTATGCCCAAATGCAGGGCTTTGTCTGTGAGATGCTGAAACCATTCAAGCAGCTTCAGCAACTCAGTACCACTACAACAAATAAGGCAGCCCGGAAATTGCTGCTGCTAATCATTTAGCTGGAATAGGTCTTCCTGCTTGGCTCAGAATTAAATTTGCAGGAGTTTAGAAAAGATAATGTAATATGCAACACTAAGTTGGGTGGGAGTGTTGATCTGCTGGAGGATTGGAAGGCTCTGCAGAGGGATCTGGACAGGCTGGATCAATGGGCTGTGGCCAACTGTGTGAGGTTCAAAAAGGCAAAGTGCCGGGTCCTGCATTTGGGTCACAACACCCTCATGCAACGCTCCAGGCTTAGGGAAGAGTGGCTGGAAACCTGCTCAGTGGGAAAGGACCTGGAGGTGCTGACTGACGGAGCTGAACAAGAACCAGCTTGTGCCCAGGCAGCCAAGGTGGCCTGTATCACCAATAGCATAGCTAGCAGGGCCAAGGAAGTGATTGTCCCCCTGTATTGGGCACCTTGCTGAATCTCGCACAGTGGAGGTGTGCAGGACTCAGCACCTCAGGTCCTGCACCGTACTCGAGGTGTGGAGGCCACACCTCAAATACTGTGTTCAGTATTGGGCCCCTCACTCCTACAAAGACACTGAAGTGCTGGAGCATGTCCAAAGAAGGGCAAGAAAGCTGCTAAAGGATCTAGAGCGCAAGTCTTACAAGGAGCAGCTGAGGGAACTGCAGTTCGTCTGGAGAAAAGGAGAGACCTTATTGCTCTCTACAACTACCTGAAAAGAGGTTGTACCAAGATGGATGTTGGTCTCTCTTCCAAGGTAACAAGCAACAGGACAAGAGGAAATGGCCTTGAGTTGTGCCAGGGAGGTTTAGATTGGAGAATAGGAAAAATTTCTTCACCGAAAGGGTTGTCAAGCACTAGAACAGGTTGCCCAGGGAAGTAGTTGATCTTAAAGGTCTTTTCCAACCTAAATGATTCTATGATTACAGTCATACCATCATATTATTTTCAGTACAGCTCAGTCCTTCTTATCTAGAGACTCCTTTAAGGCAACTTATCCCCTTACACTCAACAACTTGAACATGAGAAACAAAGTTTTTTACGCTGGGATGTGGCAAGACTCTGCAGATCTCACAATTGCATTTGAGACTCTCTTAGAAAATACCCACTTTCAGGAGATGACCATGAAAGCAAGTTAGCCACAGAAAGTTGTCCTTACTTACTGAATGTTCCCCCATCCCTTGCCAAGTTATACACAAAATAACACGTACTAGCTAGGGAGACCTTGGTGAAAATTTGATTGTACTCACCAGTGCGAATCAAAATGGGCTCGAGCTGCCCGTAACTAAAGATAAATACAGCTGACAGAAGTAATTTAGAAAGAATTACAGAAGAGTTTGCACATCACATAAAAGTAATACTAGGGTTACATGCAGAATAATCTGGGCACATGGAGCACCCAAGTTAAAATCCAGAACTGACAGGCACAAAGTCAGTCGTAGAGTTACTCTACAGTGCCGTGTCCTGATAATTACGAAAACTAGTGTGAAGCTTTGAAGTCTAAAGGCAGATCTGTGCAGGTGAGAGCAAAACCCAGCCCACTAACATCAAGCTGCTTGACATTCTTCATATCAAAGAATGATAGACACCATGTACTCACGTATGTTTGACACTAAAAAAAGAGGTTACTTTAACAATCCCTTGATAAATGCTAAATGAGTTGGGTTTGTTGATTTTATTTTCTTATAGTGTAAAGAGTAACTTTGGAAATCTCACTATAAAGAAGCAACAATTTAAATCTGCCCTCATGTAACTAACAAAACTGAACTTGAAACTGAGCTCTTCAGCTTGCCATGATTTAAAATACAGGTTGCAGTTATATCAAGAGTAAGACTCCTGAATGTTCTTGTGACAAGTTAATTATAGAAGCTACATATTTTCCTTCCCTTCAGGGGTCAGAAAAGACAGCAATGATTTTAATTGTCTACTTGATAGTCAATCACTACCTCTGAATTTGTCGTATTTCATCCAAGGATGTTACAGTAAAAAATTTAGGGAGGTCATTTGCATCTATGTATAAAAACCCTAATAGGAATGAAAATTCATAAGGGACCTAATACTATAAAGCCAACAAGTCCTTATTGCCGTAAGTACAATGCAAATAATGTTAGTTAACATGAGATTTGAGATTGTTAACTTGACAGTTAACTTGAGGTTTGCCAGCTCAGACTCCATACTAAATTTGTATAAAGCAGGTTCCACTTTACAATAATTCTTGAAGATTGTTGTCATAAATATTACAGTGTCTACTCTTCTGCAAAAATTAAAAGGCTTAAGTCGAAAATGTTCTTTTGTTCCAGAAACCATAATAGCCAAAACTCATGTTCCTAGAAGGTTACTAGAATCTGTTGCTCTTCTCAAACCACATACTGCATTTGAGTAATGAACTACTGCACTCTTAAAAGAAAACAGTGATAGGACACTGAAGAAAAGTGACTACTCTTTTAAACACAACTGGAACTTATTTGTCCATTGCATGCCACTTACATTACTGGTATTTTTCTGATGCATAAAAATATCAAGATCATTAAAACAAATCACTGAACAGTATTTGTTAATTTAGAACTGTGTTTAATTTCAAATAGAAAACATGCTTTTTAAATAAATTATTCACTAACAGGAACCCAGGATCATGAAATCAAAGCAATGATCAGGAAGTGAACATTTTTAATACTGTACATATATTATATATTGTTTTCTCATATTTTTAGGTATTCATTTCTAGATTGAAAAATCAATAGATTGTTTCCTTGATAAATTGAAACTTTAAAAGCCAATATACCTATGAAAGCAATTTGCATTAATTAAAAAGAGACAAGTGAATACGACATATGTACAGATCTGTGGAATTCAATCTAGAAACTACATACATTAAACCAAACTGTCCCTGCATATTTAACTACAGATCTATTTTGGCAATGTGGAGGTATATCTTTTATCCTGTTGCAAGTCCTAACGTGTAAGTAGGAAGCTTCAGTATCTGCATTCTTAATGAAAGTAGCAAATATTAACCAAGAGCAACCGGATTTTCAAAAAAAAAAGTTGTATCATGACAAACAAGAAGTACAGTAAAGTTAGTATTTTTAATAGCATTCACATTTTTTAAAAAAAGTCTCTGAAATGGACCTGTACATCACTTTTATTGATAGAACATAAATATAAGAAAAAGATCCCTAAAAAGACCAGATTTTTTCCCAAACATAAAGTGCTAAGATGTGTATGGTTGTAAGATTTCTTGATTGAGCTAGGAACAGTTAACACAAAAGTTAACCACAAATTCAACTGAAATCTTTCAAAAATACCATGTGTTCTTGAGCTTCAGCATTCACAAGTTTTAGAAGATTCAGGTTGCTCTTCTAAATTCACTTGCAGTTCATTTTGACATTCTGGTGTCTCACCTTTTACAGCTAAATGGATAACTTTTAGCCATTTCTGTTTTAGTTCCTCATTGTCCGCAGCAAAGCTGTGCACAGACTTAGACTGGGTCAGTTTGAAGCTGTGTGGGAGGTCAGCACTTCTTGGAGTGTCATCTACTGTATAGCCCAGAAGTGGAATTGTAGCCAGAGCTTTAACATCCTAAGAAGAAGAAATTCTTGGTTAAGAATAGACAACTAATTTGCCTGCTAACCTTCATTTACTATAGAGGTTGATGAAAACAATTGGGGCTTTCCTCTGTTCCTAAGCTATTAGACTACTCTTCCTCAGATGGCAGTGCAAATTACTAAAATCTTTTCCCTTTTCTCTGCACATACCTGTGGAGCACCATACATGTACAGCACAAGAGCTTCCTGCTTAGGTATAACACACCATGCTTTCTGCCAGGGCTTTGATTTTTCCATGTACTGAAGAAAGCTGCATATAACACTATTTCCAGAAACTTCTGCAGATTCAATCTAGGAGAGAGTATAAAGCATAAAAAGGAAAATAAACTTTCCTGAATACAGACTAAAAGCAGAGAACAGAAAAGCAGAAATTCATCACCATTCATATCAAACCTTGGATAGAATCTGCAAAAAAACTTGAGCAAATACCCAAGTAAGATCATGAAGGACTGGGTTTATGGAAAATATTTATATACTACATCCTTACAGTCACAACATGTACTCCCTTAACATGTGTAATCTGTTCCTTCTTCCATTGGTAGTTTTGGATTATACACTTCTAGATCTCTCTAAATTTAATTTTGCCTCCACAGATAGCCTTTCTCTGTATCTTAGTATCTACAACAATGTCTGATTTCTGAATAACGTCATGTCAGGCATTTAAGTGCTAACAACTATCCAATGTGACAACCACTATTTTGGCATTCAAAATATTACGGCAGGATCAGATGCAAACATATTTCTAAGGATAGCATAAGAATGCAAGCACATAGGGAAAAGATCAGGTGAATTGCATAAAAGTTGAAGACAAAATTACATACTATTTGGGTTAAATAGTGATCCTGAGATCAGAAAGAACACAAAATGATCATGTGTTAAAGTTTGCTTGAATACATTTTTTTCTCTCCTAGTAGTGGTGCTGACTGAGTGCTGCAACATGGTACTAACTGCTCTGCTGTCATGAGGCGCAGCAAGCAGATAGACATTTCTGAGAGACTCTGTAGCTCCTTAGCTACCTTAAAAAAGGCACCATGCCAAGAAAGAGCAGACTCTTGACTATAAGGTAAGCTAGTGGAGTTTTGCAGTCCTTACTGTTTCTCGTTTCGGAGAGTGTAGTCAAACCAACATGGATTAAGATCTGCATATGGAATTTACAACCTGTGTCTTATTTTTGTCTTCTTTTTCTGTTGGTATTAGCTCAAGGGTCAATCCCTCTCTACTACTTCTCAAGATAAATATGTCTTGACAAAATTAGGATGATCTTTCCCTAATATAAGTCAGGCATTTTAAAAAGGCCTGTAATAGGGGATTTAAGAAATATGCAATTGGTTAATTGCAATTCTAAGGTGCCTATTTCTCCCGCAGTCATAAGAGAAACATAGCTCTTTATTTTCTGATTGACACCTTGAATTTTTAGATGTCAAAAGCTGAGAGCAACTTGATGATTTAAAGGTACATTGCATACACCGATCAGAAAAATATTTTACTACTCAGACTTGGAATAGCAAATTTCTCCCCTATTCCGCTTGCCTCCCTCCCCAGTCCTTTCAGTTTGGGTATATGTTCTCTAGAATCATTGTAGTAGCAGTGGTCTTTATGCTATGACAGCTTAAGTGCAGAAGAAAAACTGAAGATTTGTAAGGAAAGGTAATGTTTTATCACATCTGATGTAACTGGAAAGAAGTAAACAAGCTCTAAGGTTCATAATTCCCCTTAAAAAAAAAAAAAAGAAACAATGAAGTATTGTGAAAGATTAATGGTGGAAACCAAAATCTATTGGACAGGATTAATTTGGTCCACATACCTTTTATTTCTCAAACAGAAAATAGCCCTGCAAGAATGCTACCAGCTTTCACTTACTGATGAATTGTAACTGCATCTATGGTTTTTAAATGACATACCTCCAGGATGCCTTTCTTCTTCTTTTCTTCACTGTCTGTACAACCAGTTATAACATGGTAGCAGTCTTTACAGACTTTATTCAATTTATTGCCATCATATTCAAGATGTGCCTTGTAATCAGAACATTTCCAGCAAACCACCTTAGAAAAAAAGATAACACACATACAAAAATTATGAAAACAATTTAATTAAAAATCAGGATTATTTTCTCTACTTAGTAAAATGTTGTTTCATTAAACACAACAAGAAAGATAATGCCTTTATGACATGACATTAATAATCTAATTGAAAATAATGATTTTCCAAATCTGTGCCACTGCTTCTTAACTAGAAGCATTTTTTACTATTTACCTAGTAAAACCTTGTACTTTCTGTAAAATAACACTAGGCTTTCAATTCTATCTGTAGGTTAAAGTCAGAAATAGACTTAGAATATAGCACAAGCCATGCTACAGAAAGAATATTTTCTAGTTTCCTGGAAGAAAATCCTTTCCAGTTTGTTAAGATGCCAACATGAAAAGCTATATTTACATTTTTTTTTTTCCTCTACATAGCCTTAGAAATGTACAACTGAGATGCACTTTATAGATAAAAACAATAATAAAATAAGAAATAGATATTTTTTTAACCTGCTGTTAAATTTACAGATTTATAATCTGTTCACAAGTACACAGAATAAATAAGCTAATATCACAATGATTTTTCTTCTCACTGTATATTTATTTGCATAAAACTGCAATGCATGGGAGCTCTGGAAGAAGTTGTTTCATTAGAAATGATTTTCCACAGAAATGTTCTTTCAGATGAAAAAGATGCCCTGCATAAAAAATATGAGCGAAGTTATTTCAAGAAAGAAAGGTAGACAAATGGACTTGGACCACTCGAACACCTGAACAAAATTTTATTGTGGACCAGGGCTTTGCAGTACTAATATATAACCTTACCTTCAACTAATATCTCTAGAGAATACTACTGAAATATTCCCAGTTAGTGACTGCTGGATAAACACCAGTGACCCAAAGTAATTCCCATGAAGAAAAAAAAAAAGTGTTTTAAAATTAAAGTGCAAGGAGATGTGATAGAACTACAATAGAGGGAAGTTAGTTAGGAGTCTGAACAAAAGCGTGAATAAAAAGGAAGGGTGTGATGTTAAGATTAACAGACAAGTTTTAAGACAATAATGATCGGGGGGGGGGACGGACCCCCAAACTGAAACAAAACCCACAAAACAGATTACAACTGTATAATCAATAACTTAGAGCTTCTGAAAAAAGCATCCAGTATATTGCAAAGCAAAAAAGCAGCACTGTGAACAGAATAAGCCTTCATGCCACATAAAAATATCATAAAGAAATCATGCAAGATAACCTACAATAGAAGTATTAAAACCTGGGCCTGCACTACCATCTGCTGGAGAAAGGCGCAGCTGCTGGATGGCAAGAACAGAAAGCATGGGATGTTTGCTCTTCTGTTAACTTCTGAAAACTCCCAAGTCATACCACTATTTCATGGTTGCTTTAAAGCAACATGTTACCATAGCAACATACATGGAAAACAGCAGTAATAGACCTCACTTGGAGTATTGTGTACAGTTCTGATGTCCTCAACATAAAGAGGACATGGAGCTGCTGGAGCAAGTCCAGAGGAAGGCCGCGAGGATGATAAGAGGGCTGGAGCACCTCCCGTATGAAGACAGGCTGAGAAAGTTGGGGCTGTTCAGCCTGGAAAAGAGAAGGCTGCGTGGAGACCTCATAGCAGCCTTCCAGTATCTGAAGGGGGCCTATAAGGATGCTGGGGAGGGACTCTTCATTAGGGACTCTAGTGGTAGGACAAGGGGTAATGGCTTTAAACTTAAACAGGGGAAGTTTAGATTAGATAAAAGGAAGAAGTTCTTCACAGTGAGGGTGGTGAGGCACTGGAATAGGTTGCCCAAGGAAGTTGTGAATGCTCCATCCCTGGCGGTGTTCAAGGCCAGGCTGGACAGAGCCTTGGGTGACATAGTTTAGTGTGTGGTGTTCCTGCTCATGGCAGGGGGGTTGGAACTAGATGATCTTAAGGTCCTTTCCAACCCTAACTATTCTATGATTCTACGATTCCCTGATGCTTCATCATGTGCACACAGTTACATGCAGAACTCAGCTGGGAACAGCTCCGAGTTAACCCAAAGGAAAACTGCAGGGCTACATGATCTTCTTGTGACTAGGAAAGAGGAAGTAGCAGCATGGGAAGAGGAGGCAGCCAGTGCTGCCCAGTATACTGCTGCTTTATATTGGTTTAATATGGTCTTGAAACTGTTGAAATCAGTGGAAGCCACTCAGAAGTAACAGTATAGTATGTACAGGGGCTTGGCACATTTACAAACACATGCATCTTCCGCTGCTCCAAATTACTTCCAAATTTACAATGCTAACTAAAGCAGACAGAAGATCCTTTGTGGTGTGCTACACACAGCTTCTCCCGTTTCAGCCACAAGCACAGCTACAAACTCTGCAGCATAACAAGCAGGCACTAGGAGTCAAGTAGGTGCTTAGACCCCTTGCCAAGGCTGCTCACCAGCTACAGCAGCTGGGGTTTTACACTTACATGTCCACATGCTCGACAGTGGTGCCTTCTCCTTGTCAGTGCATTAAAGGGCTCCTTGCATTTCATGCACATGGTTACTTCATTGTCTCGTATCCACCTTGGTGCTCTCTTCCCAAGCTCAGCGTTCTGAATGGGGCCAGGAGGAGGGTGGGAGAATAAAAAAGCCAGTATAAAAAGTTGTGCAGTACTCTAAATAGAGAAAATAATTATTCTCTTCCTCTGGAAAGGAAATAGCAAAACACAGATCAAGATGCATTTTGAAATATATACAAGAAGCAACAAAGAAGCCAGTCAAAAATCATTACGCATCACTGAAAGGGTGCTCTGTTACATGTTGGGGGGGGGGGGGGGGGGGGGGGGGGGGGG